TTTCCGAAAATAGGGGACCCTAATATAGTACCCTAAATAGTAGGATCCCTATTATAAGGACCCCAAAACAAGGTACCCCCAATTTTCGGAAACTCCCATGTCGACTCCTACTGACGGGTATTGAAGAGGGTGCAGAAGCCCGGGCCTTTTTGAGCTCTGCGGAGGGGTTCGGGTTTCGCGTTTCCCTGAAACCCTAAACTTCCTGAACCCTAAACCCTAAACCCTAAACCCTAAACCCTAAACCCTAAACCCTAAACCCTAAACTGAACCCTAAACCTCTAAACCCAATGTGGGCTTCTGGATGCTGCACATCCCTGAAGGTTTCGGGTCGCAGCCTCCTCTTCGCAAGAATACCGTTGATTCCTGCAGGGTTTAGGGTTTAGGGTTTAGGGTTTAGGGTTTAGGGTTTAGGGTTTAGGGTTTAGGGTTTAGGGTTTAGGGTTTAGGGTTTAGGGTTTGGGGCTTAACGGTCTTGGGAATCTAGGTTTTAGGGCTTAGGGCTTAAAGGTCTTCGGAGTCTAGGGCGCTTAAGGGCCCAATCCCACAAGTTCATTCAATACGAAGAGCTTGGGGATTGCGCGGGGTTTCGGGCTGGCTTTTTGTTTTAACCCTTGACCGACCCTAGAAACCCCTCAGGAAACCCTAGCAAGCCTCTCTGTAAAGCAGAGCTACAAGAGCTTCCAGCTCAGACACGCCGGGATCGTCGGGTACCTGTCGTTTCGGGCTCACGGATTGGGATGCCACCAACCCTAAACTCAAGGGGACATAAAAGCTTTTTTGGTGCTGAAGCTTATAAACGGGTTCTTATGGGGCTTTAGGGCCCGGGAGTGTAGGTTTTTAGATTTGGGTCAGGGGTCGGGCTTCAAGGCACTTGCAGGATCGAGCATGCTTTCTGCCGCCAGCCGTAGATTGAAAATGTCTGTGAAAACAGCTCTGCCGGGCGGCCGGGGGCATTTCAGCACTAAACATGGAGCCCGGAGACCCTAAAACCCCTCAATCCCGTAACAGATCCTAAACTCAAGAAGTTTAGGGTCGAGGGTTTAGGATTTAGACCAAAACCCTTAAGCGAGAGGTAGGTTGGGGTCTCCGGAAAGGTGCACTCAGCCCGGCCAAGTTGCTGAGTTCTTGAAGGATCTTCTGAAGGGCTTGATGAGGCTTTTGGAAGCTTATACGGCTGCGAAGCCCTCTGAACCATTCAGAAAGTTGGAACCTCATGAAACTCATGCCACACAAGTATAGCCTAGAGTATCCCAGCAGGGAGCACGTTTATTACATCTCCAACTGTTCAACCCCCTGAACCCTAAACCCCAAAGCCTACACCCCGAACCCTAGTATGTAATAGTATATTACAGGATGTAATAGCATACTATTTTATATGATGGTGTAGTATAGTTTATAACAAACCCCCAATCGCTACTGTGTCTTGACAGAACACCCGCAGCGAGGGCTCTGGGCCGAGTTTGCACCTTTAATCCGTGCCCACACTTGTCGATGATCCCTTCAGATTCCTCTTGACATAGAACACAACAAACGATACACTCTTCGAAGCAGAATATTACACGATGTAATAAGATGTTCTTAGCAATGTCATGCAATGTCATTTATATATATATATAGATGAATAGATATATATAGATATGTATAGATACACGTTTGCGTGTGTGTATGTGTATTTATATAACTTTGGCGCATTTTGGGGTTTGAAACCGCCGAGGCGGGGAGCTAGATTTCCCTCGTCTTGGGTTCATAGTGCAAAGGGATAGCATAGACTTACTACGCCAATAAGCCAGGGAAATAAAAGGTTAAACTTTCAGATTACTACTAAGTTATAAGAACCCAAAAAGTTTAAAGGTTGGGTATTGGAGAACTAAGTAGACGCTTTAGTAAGAAGAATAGGGCTTGGGGTCATAATCTAGTATAGGCGTATGGGGACTACAAGGAAATAATACAACAAGAGACATCATGCCAACACTAGTGTGTTGATGAAAATCAGCAGACTTACTCCTTCATTCCGAGTTCCAAGCTCTTTTGCCTAGGGTTTCGGGTTTAGCGTTGAGAGCAGCACTTGCCACGCATGATACCATACGAAGCGGCACGGGGCCCGCGGTACCGATGCAGAAGGCCGTCGGTAGTACGAGTACGAGTAGTGGGGCTTAGTAGGGGCAGCACCAGAAAGTATCAGGCATAAGGCAAATGTAAAAAATACGAAGAGCTGACAGCAACCTTCCTTCATTGCTCAGGAATCTGGAGGATCACAGGATACCGGGTCGTCCAGAACTTGGCGACTCCCGTATTTCCGGGTGCTGAGATGCAACCGCCTCAAGGGCAGGCACACGTGCAGTCGTGCCTACGGGCCTACATACGGCAGCCGATCACCGTTGCCATCATCAGCTTCGGCAACACCATCATGATCACCGTTGCCATCACCGTCGTCAGCACAATCGACATCACCGACGAGATCATCATATCCACGAGAGCAACCAAACCATCCTCATCATCACCACATGCACACTCATCAATCACGACGTTGGCCTTAGACATTCGAATCATTTTCAACAAGGTCAAGTCAGCCTTTATCCTAAGTGTGCACGATCCCTGCACTTATTTCCATTACCAGTACTACTGTGCAGGCAAGGCCAGCAGCATCATCGTCACTGGTATCATGGCCATAGAAGCATTCCCCTTCTGATGGTGATGAACATCAGCACCATCGTCGATAGAATCCTTCCTCTCCCGGGGCTATTCCTAGTGTGTTCGGAAGGGTGTTGTAATGTTTCTGTGCCAAGAGCGGCGGCCGTGTCGTTTAGGGTTTATGGGGGGCTATTGGTGACTTCTGCTTAGGGCTTGCGCTTAAACGCAACAATGCAGTTGTAGCGGCTCGTTTTTGCAGCTACCTGTTTCGATGCTGGTAAAGACACGGGGATGGTTCTGAATGGCAGTTGTTAACATGGTAGGGACGATGAAAGAGACGATCCTGATTCGGAATGGTAGCTGACATTGGTACGGATGATGATGCTGACGACGAGAAGAAGAATGTCTCTATCCAAATGAGAACCGGCTAAAGGACGAAGATCGTGCCATAATATGGGCTTTCACAGCAATGTGCAATCATATTCGCAGACTCTCAATTCTAAACCGCCGTGGCCATTGGTGGCTGCATCTTCAGGTTTGTCCCTATTCGGACCTCACGGAACTCAGCTGGAAGAGTCCATTCACGGATCCTTCTGCAACGGCTCCTTCTGCACCCTCTGCCGAGATCGGGCGCGAGGAAGAAGCTTCTAAGGATGATCTAAAGCGCTCAAAATCTCCTGCTTCCCAGCTCACATCTGGTCTCAAGCTTGAAGTCTAGATAAACATCGTGAGACTTCTAGATTCGTGCTTGGAGGTTCATGGGTAGTTATAACTGGGGTTATAAGTAAGGTAACTATACTTATAACCCATATTAGGGGACTTATAACCCCACTTATAACTACCCACGAACAAGTGTTGGGCTGCTTCCGACATCGATTTTTGCCCGTAAGTTCGCCTCGATCCCGAAGTTCCTACGAGAGCTTTAGCCTCTCCCCGCTTCGCTTGCTAAACCGGAGTTCTGTGGAACCCTCCAGCAGCAAATCCAATGAGACCCCTCATGGGGTTTCGGGCTAGGGTTCAGGGTTGAGGGTTTAGGGTTTAGGGTTTAGCCCTCTTGGCACCCCAGAAACTCGAACTCGGCAGAATGCGCACGGAAACGAAGATTAGGCTTTGGTCTCCCCTGACACGCATACAGACATCAGGGCGACGGAAGCGGGCCACCCACAACCCGGTCAGGGCTGGGGTTCAAGGTTTTCAAGGGTTTTAGGGTTTAGGGTTTAGGGATTACGGCTTACGGTTTAGGGTATAGGGTTTAGGGATTACGGTTTAGGGTTGAGAGTTTAGTTTACGGTTTAGGGTTTAGGGATTAGGGTTTAAGGAGGTTGGGATGTATGGAAGATTGGGGCTGAGGGTTCCCAGAGACTCCAATATTCCTCAATTAAGGAATATTCCTTAAATTACAACAGGATCCTTAATATGATTTAAGGTATATTCCTCAACTAAGGGATATTGGAGTCTCTGGACTCCCTGCCCGGGCGTCTGATGTTCCCAAAGCTCCAGAACCAATAATATGAAGTAACTTGTAGAGGGGTTGAGGGGTTTAGGGGTTTAGGGTTTAGGGTTTAGAGTTTAGGGCTCCCGAGAACTCTGTAGCGGCAGAAACCCGAAACGCCAAATCCGGCTCATCGAAAGCCCTGGATCCCACACCCTACACCCTAAACCCAAACTCGCTGAACCCTAAAACCCCCAACCCTAAACCCGAAACCCTAAACCGTAACCCGCTGAACCCTAAACCCTTGGCCCTTAACCCCTAAACCCGAGACCCTAAACCCTAACCCGCCGAACATCGCCGAACCCTAAACCCCCAAACCCAAAACCCTAAACTCCCCAGAGACTCCAGTATCCCTTAATTAAGGAATATTCCTTGAATTATAGTAGGATCCTTAATACGATTTACGGTATATTCCTCAATTAAGGGATATTGGAGTCTCTGGGTCTAAACCCTAAACCCTAATCCGCTGAACCCTAAACCCCCGAGCGTAAAAAACAGTGACGAGGGAGGGCTGAAGGTTCCCAGAGACTCGAAAGCCCCTTAGGGTTTAGGGTTTAGGATTTAGGGTTTAGGGTTTAGGGTTTAGGGTTTACCGGCGCATCTTCCGTAACTTGTACCGGGGTTTAGGGGTTAGGGGTTTATTGGCTTAGGATTCAAGAGATCATGAAGATGCTGCATGGTGTCGTTCATAGACCGGACATTGATATGCTTTTATGTGCTTATCTTAGCTAAGGGAGGTCTGGGGTTTCAGGGTCGAAGATACTCCAACCTTAGAGCCCCAAACTCATCTTCACAGGTAGCGCTTAAGGGTAGTACTCCCCTGTAAGGGTAGTATAGGGTTCTGTAATAGGATCCCCTTTAAGGGCAACCGAGGAGCTTTGACGCTGACCACCTGCTCTTTCAGGGCTTCTGCGGGACAGAGTTGAAGCCTAGTTTGGAGATCAGAGTACGCTTCAAACGGGGCTAAGCGTGTCATACATGTACCTGTGATGCAGCAGCAGCAGCAACAACAACAACCAGGGTTTGGGGCGTCGTGTTGAGCAGCAAAACGCCCCCAGTTCTACACTCTAGCGTTGCAGTGGCAGACAGTGTGTCTGATGCCTGCGGAGTCTGTGATGATGGTGATATTGGTGGTGATGACGATGCTCATGATCATGGTCATGAGCACATTCATGATCATCTGCATTAACGTCACCATCACCAGCGCAACAGCATGTCCGGGCCCTCAAAACCTTACGCTACACAATCTCGCTTCGGGCCTTCCCGCCCATGAGGCTGTTGACCATGGACGACTTGCCCACGTTTGGGTGCCCGACGAGGCCAAGCATAATGCCTGAGCTTCTGGGCTTCGGGGCTTCAGAGTTTGGGTGTACCTTAAGAACCCAAAACCCACTCTTTTGTAGGTTCCTATTATAAACCCCCAATATGGGATTTATAGGGGCCCTACAAAAAGGTAGGTTTTGGGTTCTTAAGGTAGGGCCTATAGAGGCTTTGATGTGGCAGTTTTCGGGGTTTCAAGGCATCAGGTCTCTGGGGGTGTTATGGCTTGAGGTCCCTTAATTAAGGAATCTTCCTTACATTATAGTAGGATCCTTAATAAGATTTAAGGTATATTCCTTATTTAAGGGATATTGGAGTCTCTGGGCAGTGTGTGTCCAGGCGTCGGCATTGATAAAAACCCTCTAAGACCCTGAAACCAAGACTGCAAACACCCTAGACATAAACCCTCAATCCGAATGCTTGTGGCCTACCCTAAACCCTAAACCCTAAACCCTTAAACCCTAAACTTTAAACCCCTAAACCCTAAACCCTAAACCCCTAAACCCTAAACCCCTGAACCCAAAATGTGGCCCAGCCGCTGCCCTCCGGAATCGCCAAGTCTTCTGGCCCAGCTCCGGATGCCGCCGCTGGGATGGCCTTGGCTGCGAGGATCAGCTCCCAGGTCTGCCCAGGCTACTTAGAGCTTCCGGGGACATACTAAATGGGCCCTCTCTTTAGCGTTTAGGGGTTTAGGGTTTAGGGTTTAGGGTTTAGGGGGTCTAAATGAGAGGTTCCGAATATTAGGGGTACCTTATTTTGGGGTCCTTATAATACGGGTCCTACTATTAGGGTACTACATTAGGTTCCCCTATTTTCGGAAACCCCCACTTAGAGCTTCCGGGGACTTAGTAAGCGGTGCCAGAGGTTCCGCTGTTGGGTTTATGCGGTTCTACGACTTTTAGGGTGTAGTTGAAGGTTTACGGGTATAGGGTAGAGAACCCAGCGCTAGTCGCCGGAGACCCATGTTCCAACTTTTTGGAGGTGTACTGTGTCAGCAAAGCTTCTGGAAGGTGCGACAGAAGGCTGTATAAGTTCTTTTGATGTGTTTGGGGGTATGCAAGGCTTTTTGAAGGGGAGCTATAATTTCTAGCGTGTGTTTTGCTGAAACTTTTTTTAAGGGCCCTTTTCCAACTGCAGTACAGTATAGATGTTGAAACTTTAGGGTTTAGGGTTTAGGGTTCAAGGCCTACAAGCAAAAAAGTAAAGCCCTAAAACCTTGACCCTAATAAGCTTTGAGCTTCCCAGAAGGCATCAACAGTGAAGGTGGAGAGAGCTTGTGAGATGCTTCCGGCTTAGGGGAACTCGTAAGATGTACCCTCTTAGGCTCTTAGGGTCTTCAGTTGAGGGCTTTGGTTTAGAGATGATGGGTCTAGTAAGCCCTAAACCCTGAAAGCTCTTGTCATTGGCCCAAAGAGTTTCGACTTTCAGATGCCCAGAACCTGCCGTCTCCGGAAGCAGAAAAGCCAGGGCTTCAGGGGTTGGGCCCAGGCTTCAGATGCGTAGGAAACCCTGAACCCTAAACCAGAGGGAGCAAGCCTTTCCTTGCTTCCAAAAGCAGGAAGACACGAAACCTGTCAAAATCCTACGGCCACCCCAGCCGCAACTGCAGCGTATTTGACAGTTCATGGGTGGATATACGCAGAGCCATGAATGGGTGTCATAAGTAGATGTCAGTATGGCTACAATATTTGACTTAACGCACCGCTTGCAAAGTCCCGGGCTTAGAGAGGGTTTAGGGTTTGGGGCTTAGGGTTTAGAGAGATTAGGATTTGGGCTCTAGGGTTTACGGGACACTGCTGGGCTGTAGGAGTTTCCGACATGCGGGTCCAAGTTGCAGGAGCATAGCCGCCCGCAGGTGCGCGTGCCCTTGCGGACGCCGCTGTCTTTGCCTCGTCGCGTTCGGCAAGAGCAACCTAGACATGAACCCTAAACCCTAAGCTCTAAACCCCTAAACCCCTAAACCCTAAACCGTAAACCCTAAACCATAAACCCTAAACCCCTGAAATCCCTGAGACCCCTGAAGCCAAGAGCTCAAACGACAGCCCCAAACTTTACAAACTGAAGCCCCGCATCTTCACAGCACTTCGAGTCGGTGAAGCTTCAGGTTTGGGTGGGGGGGTCCTTTTTTGATAAGGGTTTAGGGTTCAGGGGTTAGGGTTTAGGGTTTAGGATAAGCTTTCTGCGTTGTGATGGTTAGTTTTTCAAAACAACTGCAGACCTTATTTTTCTTCACGTAACTTGAAAACAATGACCTGCAGGCGTCTCTTCCGCTTATTTCAGAGTCTCCGGTCACAAATATGCGCTAAAACCCTAAACCCTAAACCCTAAACCCTAAACCCTAAACCCTAAACCCTAGTTTAGGGTTTAGGGTTTAGGGCTTCGGTTTTAGGGCTTAGGGTTTAGGTGCTCGTCGAATATTCCTGAATTAGCTAAGGCTCTGATTATGGCTCAAGGACGGCCGTCCTGGCCGAAGTCGGCCAAATCGACCAAGGGTTGTAGAACGATAGACTCCAGACGGTTTCCAAAAACTGACAATGACAAGGGACACTATGTGCTTTCCCCCAACTGGCTGCTCAGGGGAACCGTTCTAGCCGGGTAGAGTTTTGAGGTTGTGTCCTGCAAAGAATCACCCTCAAAGTCCTAGGAAAGAGTGGCGAAATCAGGTACAGTAATGTAGGGGCCTCAATAATTAGAATAGGGTTTTGGGGTATATTATAGTATAATCATAATAAGGAATCCCCGAAATAGTATAGGTAATTATTTAGGTCCCTATGGTATCCTTCTTGAAAGTTTGTGGACAGCCTCTTCGCTTACCCTCCTGCCCAAGAAGGGTCACTCCACCATAAACCACTCAACGCCTGAAGCCAGAAACCCTAAACATTTCCCAACAAAAGCCCTAAGCCCTGGAACCCCAAGTCCGAATCGCAAACCAATAGGGTTTAGGGTTTAGGGCTTAGGGTTCAGGGTTTAGGGGGGAAACCTGAGTGTCCAACTTCGTGCAGCCCAACCCCAAACGGATTTTTGTGCTTGGCGTTGGGATTTGGGCCTCCCGGTTCGTGGTTGAAAATTCTGGGCCCTAAACCCTAAGTTCCAGTACCATAACCCCTACTTTGTGTGGGTTCTTAATAAAAAACCCTAATTTAGAATGTCTCGGGACCGAACAAACAGGTAGGTTTTGGTAGTTCAATGTAAGCCATCTGAAGGAAGTTATCAATCGCCACGCCTGCATGTCTCGGTAGTAGCCTGTCCCCCGGGCGCCTCGTCAGCAGGGGCTTCCTATTGTGGTATCTCGCGGTTGCAGGCCTTGGGGCTTTCAAGTTTGCAATTTGGGCTGTCTACGGGCCAAAACCGTAAACCTTCAGCTACCCCTGCGACCCAATAGTTTCAAACCCAGAACCCCGAAGCCCTAGACCCTGCGCCGAAGGTGATTTTGTTGAGAAGAGAAGGACATGAAGATAGGGTGTCCCCCCAAATGTACGGCTCTGTAAAGGTTCAGGAAACCCCACAACCTATGAAACCTTGAACTCAGGAGCCTGCACAGAGCATAGCGCAGGGCCACATATGTTGAAGCAAACTCCTAGAATTGAAGCCCAGCCGCTTCTAAAGGGCGTCATAAAGCTTCCATGCGGGCTTTATACAGGTTGAAAAGGGTTCAGCAGGATGCCAAAAGGGTTTTAATAGGGCTTTGTGACTTTGTGGATTGAACCTTTACGCTTTATTTGACAACCTTCTCCTGCCCCGTGTAATTATGAAAAACTCTTCAAAGAACCTTATATACAAACCTCACAAGAACCTTGACAACGAACAACCAGACCTTCAAACGAACCTGCCGTTCGAAAACACTTTCAACACCGGAAGCTCGTGGACCGTGTCTGGAAGCAAACTCTCTTGTCTCGTGCTTACGCTGCTGGTGCTGGTGCTGGCGCTGGTGCTGCTAATGCTGGTGCTGGTGTTGGTGCTGCTAGTCCTGGTACTGCTACTGCTGCCATTGCTCGTGCTGGCATTCTACAGCAGATCAGAGAACAGCGATCCGGGAACCTGACCGGAAGCTGAGCAGTGCGTCAGTTTGAGTACTGCGTCGGACCACTAAACCGACAGGCCAATGCCACAGGCCTTGCAATCATCATCGAAATCATCATTTTCCTTGCATGCTGCTACACACAAACTTAGTGAAAGCAAGCAGGAAGCTTGGGTGGCTCCTGACTGTTGTCTGTCTCCTGAAAGTCCTGATCCGACTCTCCGTCCAGAGGCTGAGCTGTGCTTCAGTGTAGCTACTGCAACAGATCACGGAATCAATAGGCCTTCAAGCCCGGAGTCCAACCCGGAGGAGGATTGTTAGGTTCGGTGGCCTGCTCCCCGATGAGCACTGGTGGTCTGTCCGTCAGTGTACGTGCTGCAACAGATCACGGAGTCAATAGGCCTTCAAGCCCGGAGTCCAGCCGCAGGAGGATTGTTAGGTTCGGTGGCCTGCTCCCCGATGGGCGCTGGTCAGTTCGAATACTGCACCCGATGATTCAGCCGGTAAGCCTTCAACGGCGCCGGTGAGGCAGAACTTGTTGTCGTCCCGGCATGGGTATTGCACAACTGCGCGGTAGAGACGCCAGAATACAGTAGCGGTGTACGGCCCCATGCCAGGTTGGCTGAGGAGACGGCGGAAGTGTGGGCCTGGGTCAAGCATCTCCGCGGCTCCGCCCGGGCTCATCTGCTGGAGCTTGCCCTGCCGCCCAGAGGCACAACACCAATCCAGGAATCGATCGCATTCCAGGAACATGTTCCGAACACGAGCCTCCAGTCCGCAATCTTCTGCTGCGCCTGCCCGCACCGTAGCTGTGGAACACAATCCGGAAGATGCCCGAGAGGGCGGCACCTCCTACAGACTCTCCTCCAGGTCTTCTTGCCTGCTCTTCGCCTGAGCTGGACGTGCTGCGAGGGCATGTCTCTGTCCTGAGCTCTTTGGGCACCCAGGCCCGCTTGATTTTGACTTGAACCAGCTTTGGGTGCAAGATCTTGCCCGACTCGTGGAATGAGCTCGGGTGTGACGAAGTAAGCTGTGTCGCGCATGGAGGAACCTGAAATAGCACCAGCGTCCCGGAGCGCAGCCGCAAAGCCGGCGGCACCCATCAGGCTCAATATGAAGCAATTGTAACATGCATCTTTGCGAGATGCGCGCAGGATAGGTACCGCCGCCCTGACGAAGGGTGAGGACGGCCAAGACGCGAAGCGGTCAGACATATGTTCCAGGACATGCCCACACGTCCTCCCGCAATGCGGCTGGCAGACCACCAATTTCGCAAAAGGTGCGGTCCGTGATGCACTTACTTAGCCACCAGAGGGTGCATCAGGATGTTGAGCAATGTCGAAGTGCATGTGACGAGACGCGGATAAGCGGTCTGGAGGGTCTGGAAGGAGACCGGCAAAACCGTCTTAGTCCCCCGCTGTCCCGACACCCGCAAACAAAACCAAGAGAGCCCGAAACACACCCGCCAGAACCGGGGGCCAGAAGTCTTGCAATGGGAATCCGGCTCACCAAAGGAAAGAGAAACACTTTGACACACGTAGAAATGCATGCAAAGTGAATGGCCGCCACAATCAAGTTCAATGATGCGCTTCGGGTAATCATCAGCAAACCATGGAGGACTTTCGACAACGGTGTAAATATGAAAAATATCAAAATTTTACATGTTTGAAACATTCAAAATTTCCTTATTGAAAACCTTTATTAAAATATCCTACAGCAATTAACTATTCTAGTTTCTAGCTTTTGTTAATAATTTTAAAAACTTTTAAAACTTAAATCGTTGTCGAAATCCCTGTCTCAATATCCAGGACCTGGATGTTTTAATGTCCCTTAGTCGAAATTTCAAACATTTCATTACAGTTTAAATATTTAACGTTCCAAATTTCCCTTATTGAAACTACTAAAAAGTGTAAAAACATAAAGTTTTGAACTTTTCATTATTTCTTAAATCTAAATCGTTGTCGAAAAACGCGTCTCAATATCCAGGACCTGGATTTGTTTGTCAAGCTTTCCCTTATTGGAAACTTTAAAAATTGTATACATTTTAAAGGTACAGGGTTTAGGGTTAAGGGTTTAGGGTTTAGAGATTATTTCAGTCGGACTGTTTTAAGCCCAAAACAGTTTGAAGTACCCCCTGGCTAAGTAATGCTTGGATACAGAGGCAGAGGCAGAGAGCCAAAGAGAGGGAGAGAGAGAGAGAGACAGAGAAAAAGAGAACAGAGCCCGGAAGCTCCAAATCAAGTAAGCGCAGATCACTTGACTCCGGAAAGCCTATATGCTAGCTACGTCTTTGTGTTGAGTTTACGGACTATTTTTGATGAAGGGAGGTTTGGAGATGAGGAATGTTGAACGAAGGCCTGGTTATGAAGTCTTGGGGAGTGAGAGCGAACGAACAGGAATGTTAGCTTTGTCGTGGGCCTTCTGAAGCTTGGTACGTTGTGTTGCGTGTTATAACGAGCCCCAGACTTTTCCCTCGATTATAGCTGACATGAGGTCATTAAAGCGTAAGCCCTCAATCCCAGGCTTTAAGCCGTAGCATGTTCGGGCGAACATGAAAGGCGCCTTGAGCATTCCTTGTTGTACCCTACATTGCAAATTATGCACTTTAGAGCTTGTTGTACCCTACATTGATTGCAAATTATGCACTTTAGAACCTGTCACTCCCGCACATCTTCCCTAAACACTAAACCCTACCGGCTTAGGGCTTGTGGCTTTAGGGGTTATGGCCTGGGGCTGCAGGTTTCCTCTAAGGTTTGAGGGTTTGGGTGAGTTGAAATTAAACCCTAAACCCTAAACGCTAAACCCTAAGCCCTAAGCCCTAAACCCTCAACCCAAAACCCTATGAGTTGACCGTTTGAGGTTCAGGAGTTCAAAGTGCCTGTGCCAAAGAAGAACCCGGGACGGGCGCCATCGAAGCCCAAGGCGGCTGAAAAGTCGGCGTCCTCTTTGGTTTGGTGTGTATAGGGGTCTAGGGTTTTTCTTTTTTAGGGTTTAGGGTTTAGGGTTTTTTTTCAGGGTTTAAGGTTTAGGGTTTAGGGTTTTGTTTTTAAGGTTTAGGGTTTAGGGTTTAGGGTTTGGGAGTCCTCTTTGGTTTAAAAAGAAAAAACAGGTGGGGAGTTTCGGGCATATAGGGCTTCTATAAGGCTCCTATAAGGTATAATGACCTTCTATAAGGTTCCTATAACGGTAATTACCCACCTGAAAATGTCCTAGACTTTGGTCTGGGGTGTATAAGGTCTTGCAGGGTTCCTGTAGGTCTAGGGTTTAAGGATTAGGGTTTTAAGGGTTAGGGTTTAGGGTTCCTGTAAGGTTTCCATTTCACAACCTTATACGGCTTCATGGTTATCCTATGCTGCTCCCGGCTGCTTGAGTACACAGACACAAGATGTACCTGAAACCACTATCTCTCTCTCCCTCTCTATGGGGGTAGTTTTCTAAACTAGGGTCCCTTTATAGGGTCCTTCTTCTAAGGGTGCCGTACTATCTTGGGGACCTAGAGAGGGACCCTACTTTAGAGAACTACCCTATTCGGGGTGGTGTTCTATTTGCTGGGTTCTTCAGTCAGCGAGAATAAAAGGCGTGAACCCATGCTGTCATGTCTGGCTTTTCGAGGAGACCACGAGCCGAATCGTCGCCGTCCATCCGGCCTTTGAGGGCTTCAACGGGTTTAGGGTTTAGGGTTTAGGGAGCTGTGTCGATAGCTACGCCAAGCGGCGCTGCGAAAGCATCAGCCGGGGCTGCTTGGACAATGTCGACATGGTAGGCACAGGCCGTATCAGATCCGGTCATGCCTCCGCTGACCTTCGGCATGATGATTCCTGAGTAATGTAGGGGCCTAATAATTAGGGTTTAGGGTTTAGGGTTCAGCGTATAGAGGCCTCAATACTTAGAAGAGGGTTTCGGGATATATTATACAATAATTATAATCAGGAGCCCCCCAAAGTAATTGGTAATTATTTATTAAAGGCCCCTATATTACACATGGGTGGTTGTCAAAATTATGGTCCCTTTTTGGGTCCTTATTATAATACGGCACCTAATATTTAGGGTACCCAAAAAGGGACCCTAATTTTGACAGCTACCCATATTACGCATGGATCATGATGACCTTGCTAAGTCGAAGCTGGGGTCCGCATACTCCCTTCTCGTGAGCTTGCCTCTCTGGGTCGGAGAGATTGCCACAGCTATAGGGTTTAGGGTTTAGGGTTTAGGGTTTAGGTGCAGTTGAACGCAGGACTAG